TTTTAGCCTTGAAATATTTCGTAACCAAGTTCCTACCACAGTGTAACCTTTATACTGACATCACATTGACAACCTGAGAAGCATGGTATTCCTGTTAGCACTGTTATTGCTTGTAATTATGTAGAATTAAGTTGAAGTGATGCTTTATTTTTTCAAGATTTTCCTGGTTCTAAAGTTACATCTCCATGCTACTGGGTCTCGTTGTTACAGAAAGTCATTACTGCCCTCCAAACACACACTGATCTATTCATACACACACTCCCCATCACCACACACACACAGTTCAAAGGGTCAAACCCTTGTGATTCATGGAAGTTTTATCTCGCTGCAGGCGTGTAGCCCAACACATTCTGTTCTCCTCGGCTGGGTCTTAGGACAAAACGACTAATTAGCTGCATCATGATCTCATTGGCCCAAGCGCAGGGTGAACACACACACACCCTCTGTTGTCATGGAAATGGAATGGTTTCAAAATAATGAAATCGCTGTTGTATAACATTCAGTTGAATTTCGAGCAGGGTTCAAGGCTGATTTAGACTTTTGTATTTTCCCACTATATTTGTAATTTTACCATATATTTGCTTGTTAAAGTATTCACGCTTGCCGGGGCGCCTGGTTAGCTCACCTGGTAGAACTGGCGACCATGTACTAAGTTGCTGCAGTGGACCAGGATTCAAATCCGACCTGCAGCCCTTTGCTGCGTGTCATCCCCTCTCTCTCTACCCCCCTTTCCTGTCTACCTTTAGCTTTCACTATCCATTAAAACGCAATTAAAAAAAAGGCCCAAAAAAAACTTTTGTAAAAGTATTTAGGTTTACCCAATAATGTTATCCTGGTGATGGTGGAATGCCTTTCAGACACCAAAATTATCCATGAAAACCAAAAAAGAGGAAATTATTGTATTCTTTTGCTACTGACATTTATATTTTCTTTTGTCTTGCGGCCACCCTAGTTCCTTCTACACACCTATCAGCCCATTCTCATTCCCAGGTCGAGGAGGGGCTAGCTGACATCAATTCATGACCCCTGGAAAACACTAATGTAGGGGCTGCTATCATGGGAGAAAAATAAGCAAAAGTTTTTCTTCCTTCTGGTAATTACAGGCCAAAACAAACACCAGTGTTATAATGGTTTCTTAACAAAAACATTTTAATTTCAGTCTGACTTTAATCCTGTTTAAAACAGCTAGGCACATCACAACGAGTGAAGAAAGAATTCCATAAAGAACTTCTCATTTTCTTTGGTTGCAGTCTGTTGTTGAACTATTTCTGTCAGAGCAAACTTGAAAGTGAACTTCAGTCCCAACTCGATTAAACCTGATTTACTGACTTCCACATCCGGCTCTGCTTCATTTCTTCAACCTCTCCCTGCCTTTTAACACGTCCCACGTGAATGAGGGATTAGGGAATGACGGATAGGAGAGATGAGAGCAACGAGAGAGGGATGAGAGGAAGACTGCTTTGATGGTTTCCATTAGTGATGAGGGACAAAACTGAAAAAGCATCTTGTCTCTTCCTCTCACTTATGTAATGCACTCAGACACACACTTTTTGATCTGCATTAGAGGCTTGTTTACCAGTAACTTTGCTTTGCTGTGCAGTATATGCACCTTGCTGCTGTAGTGTGGATGGAAGGAATAATATAAAATGATTGCTGAGCTGCTTAAGCAACTAACTTATAATACAGTAAGAGGAGGAGTCTATGAGTCACCCAGCAGCGCAGGTATAATTATACAGGGACTGAATGATCTACTGATGGGAAGCAGCAGTCAAGCCTCTGATGGAGCTCTCTATTACTCTTTAAGTAGCAGAGCTGTTTTTAATTCTTTTGAGGCAAGTCTAAGTCAAGCCGGAAATCAAGTCTATTCTCATGCGTGTCAGAGCAATTCCAGTCAAGTCCCAGTCAGAAACATTTCAAGTCTCCAGCAGTTCTAGTTCCAATCAAGTACATGTCATCTGAAACAAGTCCAAGTTAAGTCTAAAGTCACTCAGAACAACAGTCAAGTCAGGGCTCGTCGAATCTGACCTGTGTCCCTTTTTTTCCGGGATTTTACCAAGCAAGTTTGACTCGAGGGCAAGTCTCATGCCAAAAGCAACTGATTTCTCATTGGAAAGTTATTGTGCTGTAAAAGAGTGCTTTAAAATTAAAAAACGACCTGAATTCACCTTTTATTTTTCATTTTGACTTTTATATCAGACATTGACAAAAGAGCCCTTAGCAACCCTTTTTCTGGGTGTATTATGTATCTTCTCCATCCATCCATCCAGCTTTCCACTCTACTGGTGTGTACTCCATCAGCCCAAAACATTATCTTATTCGGGACTGGTTGCCAGACATCTGAACCGGATGTAAGGGAGCCGGTAGCAGCCGCTGGAAAGTATGTCATCTACTTCCTGAGAAAACATTCCTGTCCGTATTGTTGTGGTTGTTTTATTAGCATTCTGTAGCCCCTGTGAGGGCTTGATAAAAGTGAAATGGTGCGAATACCAGAGAAAGGTTGTCCAACATGTCAGTTAAAGTTTTTACAAGGGGATAAAAGGGTGGGAGAATTTGATTGTTACGTAACAAGTAAGAAAATACTTGTATGTGAATTTATACATTCCAAATGTTGTAAACCTTACTACGTCTACATCAGCGCACTGTATGTCAGTGGATGTTCTCAGTCACTTTTAAATTCCTCTCATCCCTGTAGGGACTAGCTTGATCTCACACATTAAGCAGCTGTGCAACATCACAGCGAGACATTGCCTCTAACACTAGAGAGACAAAAAAGATACAAAACCAGGACTTAGCTCCGACTTCAGGATTTGTGCTTTCTTTAGATTCAGTGCTGTTCTATGTACTGCAAACAAAACTTAGACCAAAACAAGGACATCCAACAACACAGTGCAACATTACAGGTTTTTGATGTCCAATATTTCAAACACATACAATTGTGAATAATTGTGATTTTGTTCACATTGTGTAAAAAGTAAAAAAAAAAAAAAAGAAGAAAGTGAAATCTGTTTTTTGGAGGGGGTAGGGGCTAGGGCTGCAACTAACTGTTATTTTTTTTAGTGATTATTTTCTAGATTTATTGCCTGGTCTATAAAATGTCTGAAAATAGTGAAAAATGTCCATCCTGGTATCTCCAAGTCCAAGGTGATGTCTTTAAATGTCTTGTTTTATCAGTCCAGTAAATCTTAGTAAAGCAGGAATTCTCTCTATTTGAGAGGCTGAACAGCTTTTTTTTTTGCCATTTGTGCATGCAAATTGTCTGCAATTTATTTGTCTGTAGACTGACTAATGAATTAGTCGACTCATCGTTGCGACTGTAGTTGGAGCAGTGGGTAGACATGCTGGTCTTAGCATTTAGCTTGAAGCACTGTTGTGTATTAGTAAAGCCATTAGGTATATGTAGCAGTAGGGTTGCTATTTGCACAGTTTGGTTTCACTAGATTTAAGTGATTCCAGTTTGGCCTGGGTTGGACTACTGGTTGGAACTTGGTGTTTAATAGTTTGAGCTGTCATGTCCAGCATCATGGACATCAGTTTACACTGAGACCTTAATGAGAGCTGCCACTGTGCCTGGGCGTGTCTGAGCCCATTCTGTAGAGTGTGTGTAAGTTTTTATAGTAGGCTGTGTG